GAGAGAGAGAGAGAACCTGGCAAAGGTTGTCAGAATTCGTCGACAAGGATGCGAGGGGCGATCATTCGTGATGGAAAAGACGAAGAGATAGACGAAGAGAGTGAGCGGGGAAAAAAGACGACGTGCACCGAGAGCGTTGGCAGTTTATAAGGGACCCCAGTATTGTGGATACGTATTATCATGCTAAATATAACATGTTAACTACTTCGCATAATACCGCGATCCTCTCGATTCTTCTCCGGTACGGTCGATCGGCGAATCGCGTTTCTTTGCGCGCGTCGCGCGTCGAAAATTTTATTGCCGAATTCGGCAGATGCGATCTGCGGAAGTGTAACGCCGGTTTTCCTCGCTGGTTTCATTCAGGGCGTGGAATGAAAATTAAATGCGGCTCTCTTGTGTTTCTTTCAAGATGCCAATTCGATTATCATTTCAATAAACATGTACGATCTAAATAATGTTGGCTGTTTCGCATCATAAAAATATGAATTATCGTTGCGATTGTGTGCGATATTAACAAAGCTAAAATTCATATCGTGTCATTAATCTTTTTTTATTTTTGAACTGACTATTTTATTAATAGTACAAGCGTTTTTTTTATAATGCATTTTTTTACTATATTTACAATGAATGAAATTAATTTATTACTCTTTTTTTTATTTAATTATTTATAACCATCAATTTTTATATTTTAATAAAATTGAAAAATGGTGAAAGTGTATGTATATATATATATCTAATTTCATATTTGATGTATAATCTTGTAGGAGCCTTTGTCATCGTCGAAATTTCGAAAAAAATCCAATCTTATTAATCATGTGAAAAAGAAGAAAATATTTCGCAAACGCGTAAAATTTGATTCTTTTTACTGACAAGCGGCCGGTACATCAACAATCAGATATGACCAGATGGCCCAGATAGGTATGTCCAGATGGTAAGATGGAAGGTAATCGGTAACATGGGCCCTCTGTATCGACTTCAATATACATAACGTAAATTCGTCACGCGTTCTTACACAATGCGAATCGATGCCGATCTCGGTACCCGGCAAAAGAGCTATAACTGAAGGTCAATTCTTCACGGATTGTTGAAGGGGTGTGATGGGCCAGAAGTTGCTGGTGCAAGAGGCGCCTGGCTCCGGTTCCGCCTCGACGAATCGCATGGAAGGCGGCGAAGGCGCCGGAGGGGGGGAGCTACACCATTTCCTCCAGTATAGCCAGCAGTCCCACAGTCCCAGCCAGAGCCTGCAGGGTGGCCTTCCGCTTCCGCTAAGCCCGCAGCCCCTGCGACACGACGGTGCCTCGAACGCCGGCATCGTCGGGGTCAAGAGGGAACCAGAAGATCTCAGCTCGTCACGCGGGGGCCAACAGTCCAGCAAACGACACAAACAAGCGCAACCGGACAGTCCTACGCCACCGGGAATGTACCATCACCATCAGCATCAATTACAAGTAAGTTTTAGATGATTACCAAGCGCAATCATTTCTTCCTTTTTCCCCTCAGCATCCAGCACCCACGATAATTCATATTTATTCGACTTGTTCCGATCTTTCAAAAATTCAACACTTTTTATATTACGCGCGAAACTTTAAGCTTAAACATTAATGTAATGATAGATATTCGTACAGAAATGTTCAGTCTTTCGCGTTACAAAGTTTTATATTCTGTAATCATTACACGTAGTGAATCTGATCAATTTTCAAGTGTCTTCAAATGCTATGTAGTTTATCTCTTGGTGTGAAATTGCTAAAGATTGCTAAAGATTCGCAACTTTCATACGTTATGATGCACGATCATCGTCGTGTCACGTATAATCTAACGCAACATGTACGCGCCGCGAGATAACATCTGAGAAAATATCTGAGATTATTCAAATCTTCCCAACGTCGCTTCTCGCATCTCGAAAATTGCTCAATTGCGGCTTGTTTTACGAATTCCTCATCATTGCGCGATGTTTTTCGCGCAATAAAAAAAAAAAGAGAGAGACATGTAAATGCGACGATAAAGATGCATGACGGGATCGCAATTCGCTCGAGATGTGCTAACAACAGCGACGGTCGATTGTTCGAAGGAGGAGCAAAGTCAACCGCAATTGATGCCTATACAGGTGCAGCAATATGGCAGCCCTTACGACCCTTACACGTCCTGCAGTCCGCGGTTACAATCGGCCGCGTTCACGTCAACATCGGCGACCGGGACTGGGAATGCAACGGCGAATCCTGGTGGTGGTCTTCACCAGGAAGCGACGACGGTCTACGTTGCCAGCGACACGCTGCCACCATTGGCCTCGTCAAGTTCGGCTTCCTCGCTATCCACCACGACTGCTTCGTACACGAGGTACGAGGTTGTACCGAGCTCATACGCTACGACACACGCCATACGCTCGTCGTCGAGCAGCAGCAAGGTTTTGACCGTTGATCTTCCCAGTCCCGACTCGGGCATCGGTGCTGACGCGGTCACACCCAGGCAGGACCATCATCCGCCCACGGCTCTTCATCAGGTGAGTCCCCTTTGCGATTAATTTCATCTGATCGTTCGAGTTACATCCCCGGTTCGAGTTTTGAAAGCGGTTCTCCTCTTACACGTCGTGTTTTCGAACGTAAGTAGGCGCGGATGCGTTTACGAGCGACATTGTTAACGATCGAGGCGAATAAAGATCTCTCGCAATACCATGTTTCTGATACTGAGGTACGATCGCTAAAGTCGCGCTGATGATAGTATAAGTCCGGAGCGAAAATTGCTACGATAAAACAGCCGGACAAGTATAATGTTAGATAAGGAATTCTGTCTCGAAGAAATTTGTCGACTCCAATAATACCAGCAGTTAACGTAAAGTTCGGACGTACGGAGCCTGAAAGCCGTTGAAAATGGAATAAAACAATTCTCACGTTTATCGGAACGTACTGTCCCGCGTCGCGTAACATTAAAAAGCCCAGGTGTAATATGATGTCACGGAGTTAGTCGACAGGGACGATCGTAAACGGAGTTCACGTCTATATAAATTGCAATCAACGGGCGACGTGAGGCGCGATCGAGGCGCGATCGCGGCCGTCTTGTCAGCGGGGAATCGAAGTTAACTGGCTGCAGGGAGGATTACGGGAGATACATGGAGAAATGTTTACTACGCGGAGATGCTCGCTACTGAATTACGCGGATAGTAGACGCCGGCAGCGTCATTAATCGTCCGAGAAAAATATGCCGGAGCGTGCGGCCGGAGCTGAGGCAGAAGCGATCGTGCTCTGACGCGAGCGGAATAACCGTAGCTCAATCAAGGGGCGCGGATGCAGCGCACGGCGAGAAAACGACGGCATCATCCCGCGGTCCGTTCCCGCGCCCATCGTTTTCAATTCGATTCGATCGGTCGCGTACAAATGACTTCGCCCACGGCGCCGCGAGAAATCGCGACGCGATTAATCTCGCGGCGAGATATCGTAAATATCGTTCGTTAACGCGCACGGCCAAGCTCGCCGCTCAAAGGACACCCTCGGCACGTTAATATATGCGGTATTAGCCGTTATCCTATTGCGAGTAATATTCCGAGCGCGATGCATGGGACGGCGTATCGCCGCCGCTGTGCTATCGTTTTCAATTCGATTTGTCAAGTGAGCGCTTTCGCCCACGACGACGCCTCGCCCGCGAGAGAGAGAGACCGGGCTCTCACGCGATTAATTCCCCCTGTCCCGGGCAATGCACGGATTACGCGTAAAGCGCTCTAAATAGCACGGGTCGAATGCATATGCAATGTCGATCGCCGCTCCCGTGGCGATTTGTCGCGCGGATTTTTCCATCTTAACGTCGCGTACAGTTACGACAGCGCGATAAATTCGGAGACGCTAATTCTACGTGTCGCGGCGCTCTAAAAGGTGCGATTATGGTATCTTAGATTACGGTAAACCGCAAAACTCTCAGCCATATCGAAAAAACGAACCCGTTCCTCCGGTTGTTCAAACTTCATGCCTCCGATGATTTTTCGTAGTAGACGTGTCTTGCTAAAACTTGACTATTCTCTTATCTTATTTAAAGGTCTCATTTAAAGATCAATAAATGAAATCACAATAGTCGCGAAGTCAATTACGGTAAGATGCGTGTATTTTAACGTTACGTAATTGGACGGCATTTTTAAAAGGAGCATTAATTTCGGATTATCATAATCCTATCACGTTTACTGTCGCAAGCTGAAACGTTCGCACCATAAACATATGATTCGTATTTATTTTAGAAGAATGGAAATCTTGCAGAGACTTACCAATGCCAATGCATCGCATCCAGAAAATTCGCAAATTTTATCACCCTCAATTACATTTAGGCGTGGTTTGGAAATCTCTCTTTCTCTACCAACTGAAACTTATCAGTTTTATAACAGAACCGTTTGAGTCTTTTCACAGTGAAAGCCGTTCAATTAAACGGCATAGTCGACGCATCGTTTCGTTTACATCGACGAGGCAGTTCTTGAAATCAATCCGTCATCCTCGCATACAGCTCTGAGATATCTCGTCCATTTCCGGAAGCATTAATCGTACCGTGGTCTCGCACGTTACACGCGAGAGTAAGTCATTAGCGTCGCAATCGACATTACGAATTAGAAAGCACGCGTTCGTTCTGCTTCGCTTGTGCACGGCAGACGTTGGAATAAAATCCGAAGTTCGCCAGGACGAGGGCATTGAGTATCGAATATAAGCGCTACTGAAAACCGATCCGCTCGCTACGCGTCTGCGTTAGATTACGAACGCAATTAAAACGTTGATATTCAAAGCGAGTAAAACGCAAAATTTTCCTGTCGGCGAGCGCGCCTCGTTTTATCTCGCGACTAATGTAATCGCCCTCCGCCGAGCGTTTCCTTAACATTTGAGGATCGGTGCCGCTCTAAATCGCGCCGAGTTAACGTAACACCACAATTATAACGCGAACGAATACGTCCGACTAATGAATTCGATGACTCGCGAGAATGCGAGCTCGCAGCTCGAGGAAAAACATCGTTAAATTAATCGTAAATCTCGGTGCACGTATTTCGAGAATGGTGGAATCTCGTTTTAACACGCCTTTCGCAGAATTGCCTCCGATATCGCGACTACGGAATCCTATGTATCATATTCTAACGGACCGAAACGGATTTTTAGCCGGACTCGCCGCGTGATTTTAAGCTTGGACATTAAATATTTATTCTTATCCGCGACGTACACGATAGTTTTCGCATCAGCGATACGCCGCGGCTCGGGGGTTTCTCGCGAAACGTTGATTCGATTACCGCCGCTGACATCTCAATTAGAACAGCCGTGTATTTCGATGATGAAACACGATAAGTAATATACCACCGGTAAATTGCGTGTGTCGCGCGCGATTTGCTTATTCGCACGACAACATGGTAAAAGTGTAAAAATGACGGTCTATGAAATCCTGTCTGCCTGATAATGTTGCATGCATAAGTGACCTTTGTATCCCCTGTGAATAAAATGTTAATTAAATAAATCCGATTATCGTGTTACACATTACAATTAAATAAAAGCCAAATAATCTCAGTCTCTTCTCTGCATTTTAGGAATTACTTACGAAAACGTTCAACGTTGATAGAAGATATATGACGCACGATAAAATTGTTAAGTTGCATTCACACGTTCGAAAACTGCAATTGGAAGAAAATATGCAACTTTCATGCTTATTGCATCTCATACATTTAATGCATGATGCATTTGAAAAATTCCAAAACGAATAGGCTTCGTGCCCCGACGCACGGCAGATTCAGTGGTTAGAGAATTTAGTGAGAAAGAAGCTGCCGTGCCTTTTTTTTTCGAGATGACAGAGAGTTGAGGTAACGAGCTGCGGTAACCGCGTTGCATTGAAAAATAACTGCAGGCAACGCACAATCGCATGAAGACGTATGAGGGAATAGGTCGTTTGGCAAGCCGCTTATTAACAGCCATGGTTGGAAGCGGGTGTGCGGATTGTGTGGTTGATTTTACGAGACCACAAAGCTCCTCTATTCTTTCTCCGTTCGCGCTGCCCTCGGCAGCAACGTACGAGTGTAGCGTCAGAATGCACGATCGACGAGACTGCGCTCGAAAGCATATCTCCGTTAATGACGAGGGAAGAAAAAGGTTACTTTCTTCGCTGCGATACGTTTGCATTAATTTATCAAGATTTGTTTATTACGGTGATATGCGTAATCAATGAGGAGAAGAGAGATCTAAAGCGGACGCGTTCGGAGAACAGTCACGTGAAATCGCGTGTCCGCGGGGGATTAATCATTTGTCGGTCCAACGATCCCTTTAATCGTTGCAATTTGAAATTTATTGAGGGATACTTGAGAAACAGAAAAATCTAATGAAATGCATTGATATGCAAAATAAGACGCGAACGTATATAGATATTGCATCGCGATACCGCTGATATACGAAACGAACGACGTCGGTAAATAATTACATTCTTATTAAATTTTTAAATACTAATTACACCGTAATCAATGGGCATTTAAATTAGTGAGATATTGAGTACGCTTGTGCGTGCAAACGCGTTTTATCTACAGAACATGACCGGAAAGAGTTAAAACTACCACTATCTTCACACGCTATATTTCTCCTGTATCAATGTTACAGATTACAGATTAATGTTATCATTAAATCCCATAATTTCTCTTTGTGAAAGAGAGATTTAAAAAATTAGTAAAGAAATATTATCGAGATGGAACGATAAAACCTTTCGTTACTTGAACCATTAAAATGATTACTTAAATGTTATTATATTTTTAAAACTGCATTTACTTTAATGTTTGAATTAAATATTAAGTAAACAATTTCTCTCTGTATTAAATATTATGAAAAATTGTTCTTGCTGTTTTATTCGATAAATTAATCAATAAATTATATTTTCTTTCTAGTCCTCGTTCGACTACACGGAATTATGTCCCGGCGGGACAACAGCCGGAGCAGCGGTGGTTCTCGAGAGTGCGGTGATACATCAACCCTTGCAACTGCAGCTGCAGCAAAGCCACACACAGGCGCAAGTGCAACGTAGCAGTTTAGTGTCCGCGGGTGCAACAAATCCAAATCCGAACCCGAATCCACAGAGATCGCGGCCTTGGCATGACTTTGGTAGACAGAATGACGCTGACAAGATTCAGATACCGAAAATGTAAGTGAACTCCTAGCTTCGAAAAATTAACTATAGTTTCCGAAAAATTTACAGTAGGACCTGTTCAGTAGATAACTTTTAAAATGATCTTAAAATTTCGTTTAAAAATACATTACATTATATGCAATATTATTACAAGTTGGGAAACTTAAGAAATCTTTCTATTTTAATTTTTTTTTTCAAGTTTAAAAGTATTCGTATTTTATATATTAAGAACAAATGAAACGTAATAGAATCACTTTCTTCGTCTTTGACAAGATTTGTCCGATTAGAGATTGTACGGTAGTATAGGAAATTAAAATAAATGCAATCAATGTATATATTATACATAATAACGATGTGCAAAGGTGAATGCTCAATTTGCTTGATAGGATGGATAGATGGATAAACAAGTAAACAGATTGATATTTATCTGTTCATCCATTTTATTACATGAGAGGCACGGACGTAACGAGTAAAAGTTGATAACTTGTACTGCTTAGGGCAAGCAATTGCGAGTCTTTATAATAAGGGAAACGTCTCATGATCGCAGACGAAAGTCTCATTCTTAACTTGTTGTTAAAGGTTTAAATAATTTATATTCGATCTTCGTTCCATGGACACAAATATTTGTACAAAAATATTTACGGTTCCAAGAATCAATTAACATATAGGATATATCATAATTTCTAAACATATTACTATAGTTAATTAAAAATTTGATTAATAATTCATGATCTCTGTTGCGCATTAATGCGCATAAATCGCGTATTATAGCTTGACGAAGACAGAGCCTGAGATATTTGTGTCCTTGTACAGTCATGTGATACTTTCGCTTATTTACTGATGCTTAATGATAATTTAAGATTCTCCTGCGTTTAAAATTAAGAATTAATAGTGTATCTAAAAACAAAGTTATAACGATGTCATTTTTGTTTCGCGGGAAACTAATATCTTTACTAGTCGCTCGCTAGTGAAGAAGAACTTCCTGTGCCTCTTAGCTCTTCGTGTACCCTTCATTTCCTCCGTGGTTCATCACATCCGTTTGCCGACTCACTCGGTCTTCTCCTTCTCTCGCATCCATCCTTCCTAGCGATCTTTCCACTTCCCGTTTCGCTCCATCCGTCTTTCGTAATTTGTTGCCTTCCATTGTTAGAGCCGATAGATACGATCAGCGGCGCTGAATATGTCTCGCTCCGTCTCTCGGGATATCCACCGACGCGGGATGAACAATGATGTTAAAGTTATTAAGCCGCAGCCAGTTCTCCGCAGCCGAGCCTCGAAGAGCGGACAAGTGCCTCGGGGTCGCGCCGGGTCCGGGCTGAAAAATCGCGCGCAAGTCCACCGACCACTCGCAGCGTGAAATCGAAATGTCAAGAGGGGTAGCCTCTCTCTTTCCGACCATTCTTTTTCGCGAACGGAAACGAGAAGGTCAGACGGACAGATTTCCGAGAGAGAGAGAGAGAGAGAGAGAGAGAGAGAGAGAGAGAGAGAG